CCGCGCGCCGCCGCGAGCCTGCGAGGCAGCGGCCGGAGGTGCCGGCGTCCGCCCCGACCTCCTTCCGGCTACTTCATCCCTGGCCGCTGCTGGGGCTTCTCGGCGAGCCGGCAGACCTTCGCAGGCGTCGGAGGCGAAGCTCCTGCTTGTTATGCCCACCCCGGGCGCCAAGGTGAAGGCATTCGGGAATCGAGGCGCCAGGGGCGGCTGAGTGAATCGCCTGCAACTCCGCGACCCCCGATCACGTAAGGCCCCCCATCCGGGGGCGGGAGGCCGCATTGGAGCATCGGCGGGGAGCAGGAATGGCAGAACCCACCTGGCAGCGTGTCTGCGGCGCCGCTTGCCTGCCCGACCCCTAGGGATGAAGAGGAGACTGGGAGCCCGCCGAGGAGGCACTGCAAGCTGGGCGGCAACGCAGACGTCGCCGGACGGACGCGAGTGATCGTCTTGGGGGGGAGCGAGGGGGCGCACTCAAGTTTGTCAGTTTAATTGCAGAAGCGTGAAAGAGACGCCCCCCCCCAAAAAAAAGCACAACAATCTCTTAAGACGAGAAACGTTGAGTTTCTCTCCCCGCCCCCCATTAAATTTTTTTTTTTTGGTCCAGATCTTGAAGATTGTATTCAATGTATTGTCCATTCGCTGTAAGATGAGAACTTTGTGAAGTCTCTCCCAGAGCGAGAAGGATGACTACCCCCGCCCTGCTGCCCCTGTCTGGCCGGAGGATCCCCCCTCTGAACCTGGGCCCCCCCTCCTTCTCCCACCACCGGGCTACCTTGAGACTCTCCGAGAAGTTCATCCTTCTGCTGATTCTTAGTGCCTTCATCACCCTGTGTTTTGGGGCATTCTTCTTCCTTCCAGACTCTTCTAAACACAAACGGTTTGATCTGGGTTTGGAAGATGTGTTAATTCCTCACGTGGAGGCCGGCAAAGGGGCGAAGAACTCGGGCGTCTTCCTGATCCACGGACCCGATGAACACAGACACAGGTTGGTTGCTGTCCCAAGTTCTGGCTACTAACCTATGGCATCGTTGTCTTTCTGTTGGTTTGCGGTAGATGTTGACCTCCCCTACTCCCCACCCCCAGATGTGAGTGGTATGTCGTTTGATTTGAGAACCCCAAGCTAAAAGCCCTCCTAGAGTTTCATCTTAAAGTTCAGCTCCTTCTGTTTGTGTAGAAGCAGCAGTACTGCCCCAGAGGTGGTGGCTTCTGTGGACAGTTGGGACGAGAGGTGTGAGAACTTGAGCCAAAGAAATTGTGATTTAAGAAGCAGCGCCTTGATTTGTTAAAAATTATTTCCAAAATAGGGTGTTGCCTTCCCTCCATACATTGAATCTTGACAGCCTCAATGGGTCTGTCCACCCCACCCCAGTCCCACCGAAGCTTATCAGTGAACCCTAGCTTATTCTTGCATAGAACATACCTGTCATTTTTGACATGTGAGAAGTGTTAGTGTAAGGGTATGTGTTTGTGCTTTGTATGGAATTAGTTGGGTCCATGCCACCCTTAAATCTTCAGTCATGCCACTTTGTGAGTCTTTTTTATTTTTACTTTGTGAGTCTTGTAGGCCAAGTTTATGTCTGATTTTCTGTTGTTTCCAGTTTGTTGGTCCAACCTCCTCTCCCACCCCCACTCCCAATGAGAGGTGGACTGTATCAAGTACCTGTTCCAACCGGCCTTCTTTAAATGTGGCCAGTGAAGGAGTTTGCAGCCTTTCTGATCATCAGATCTGAAGTAGCCTCTTGGGAGACTGCAGCCCCAGATTAGGGTAACATGGGACCTCCAGTTACGGTCCTAAGTCATCTGTACATTCTTACTCAAAAGAAGAGCTTGAGACCGTAGCTGACTTTTTTAAACCTGTAGGTTTTAGGGGCTGCTTTCATTTTTTATTTTTCATTTGCTAAATCTTTCTCTTGTCTTTCCTATTTCCTAAAATAAATCTTGTATATGTGGTGGTGGTGGTGGAGTGGGGTGAGGGTGAGCGATATCATATACTTGGATTCTGTTTTTAACTGACATTGGTTCTAACTTAAAAAAAAAATTACCAGGACAGAGTATTGGTGCATGCATTGAAAAATAGCTCTTAGTATTTATTTTTTTATTAAGAACATTTAACTCAGTATTTTTGTAAATTAGTTTGTTACATCTTGAATTTTCAATTTCTGGAAATTTCATATTCAAGTATTATACTGAGTTAAACACTTGGGAAAATGTTATTGTTTTAACCTAGTTAATTCATCACTCGCTCGAAGGTTCTTTGACTTTTGGCTAACCTTATGGAATAGTTACTTCTAAAATATTTTCATGCCATTTTTGGTAACTGAGTTAGACATTTTTACGATCATTTTGAACTTTGTATGCTTTGCATATGTTTGTGTGTGTTGTGTGAGACGGAGAGAGAGACTTGGAGATCTCTGAAATATTCTGAAAAATGAATTCTGAAAGTACTGCTTTCCTTGGAAACCACATTTCCTGTGGTACATATAAACGGTAATGAATATTGGGAGGAAAAAACAAAACATGTCAAGACAGGCTTCAGACTTCTTTGACAGCAACCCTACATGAATATTATTTATCACTGTAGTGACCTGTCATTCAAAAATGTTTTCATTATATTTAAAGTATGGTGTAAGGGTGTAAAATAAGGTGACTATATTTTAGGTTAGAAAAATCCTCAAGCTGATCGATAGTATCAAATTTGAGTGGAGACATACATATGTGTCTTTATTCACATTATTTATACACATCATTCACATATTTACATTCTATGCACTGCTTAAATGCTGCTTAAAGTCATGTAGCCTCTGAATATATATGTGTGTGCAGTATTGCTTTCTAGATTGGTTATCGAGTGAGTGAACCAAGTCTTAAGATTTAGGTAGTAAGCAGTTAAGAGTTAGTAAGTGATGTACTTGAGAATTTATTGGAATCTAAGAAGCCTTCGGGGTAGAGTGGGTTATGTGTTATGTTTGGGGCTGGTAACCACAAGGTCAGCAGTTTGAAACCATCAGCTGCTCTTTGGGGGAAGAGATGAATTCTACTCCCATAAACTATTACAGTCTTGGAAACCCACAGGGGTAATTCTATTCTGCCTTAGGGGGTCACTGTGAGTCAGAATGTGTTTGATAGCAGTGGCTTTAGTTAAGTTTGGTTATGAAAAGCAACCATTCAAAAAGACATTTGATTTACAGTTTTCTATATTATTTCTATGGTTATATAGTATCTTTTTGTATCAGCTTAGTATGTTTTATATCGTTGCCTACTATATCTAAAAACATAATCTGTAATGATAAGAGTTCTTCTAGTTTTAGGAATGAAATACATTTTATATTAGAGATCATTCAGATGTAGGTTTAAAACTAGGACATAAACTAGTAAACATTATTAAAATCTAATTCAGAAAGACCTTTTTATAGAATTCAATGATACCATTCAAGATTAATATCTATTCTTAAAATTTCTTTTTAATTTTAATTTTTAAAAATATCTATTCTTGAGATTCCCAAACCATTTTCCTCAATTTGTTTAATCTTGTATATATGGGAAAGGTATGGGATGGAGAGGTTAGGGACCATACTTTAACTGATAAGTCATGAGAAAGAAATCATGGCCATCATAGGCGCTCATTCATAGTACTTATGATATTTGTTGAATTGGCTCTTCTTTATTAATCAGTTAGTTTAGTATAGAAGTTAGTGCATAAATTGTAGAATGAGACTTGGATTCATGCCCTGTTTTGTCAATAATGACTTGTGTGCTCTTGAGCAAGTAAGTTTTAAAATGTTTCAATTTTTTCTTCTGTATGTTAATGGCATGTGGTTGTAATGAATGAGACAAGAAGTATAACACAATCAACACAATTCCTAGCATTTAGTAGATGCTCAGTATATGTTTGCTATTATCAACACTATTTGTAATTTTAATCGAGCCTACTTTGCTTTAAATAGTGTACGTATTTTAGTTTGGAAAATACACAGTGACAGAGCAGAGCCCCTGGCAGCTAGGATAGTGAAAATCAAAGATGGCTTCACTGAGGAAGAAATTTAAAATGAGTAGATTATAAAGTGAAGTACAGATTGTGGGGGAGTTGGCCAAATAACACACAACATATGTGAGCGCCCCAAGATAAAAGAAAGCTTAGCATCATTCGGAGAAATGTTCAGTGTGGCTAGTGTAGAGAGCAGTAAGCAGTGTAGGGCATTGATGAAGATACTGGATAGGTGATAAGATTTCACCTGCTTTCATGTAATTTTGCCTCCATGTTGTTTCAAACATTTCTACTAGTTGCTAGCACTCACTAATCAGATAGGCTTACATAGAAATCACCCAATTTCGAATTTTTCTTTAGAAATTCAATAAAGCATCACTCAAATCTGGTGGCAACATTTACCTGGGACCTGGGCTTCTGCTTTTAGAGGGGCATGTACTCTACATGCTGCAGCACTCAATTAAGGTGCCAGATAAGTAAATCTAATGAATCAATATTTTAACTTGTTGAATTTGTAGCCCCTAGGCAGGACCCAGGAGTGTTTATAGACTATGTTAAATATTTTGGCCTTTATCTAAGAACTATGGGGAGTCATTGAAGGGTTTTGATAAAAGCAAGAAATTACATGGCCTGGGTTAGCGATTAACAGAAGGAGAGTAGTCTAGGTACTGGAGGATACTGGCTTATAACATTGTATTAATCATGGTGATGGAAATAAGTGGAGAAGAATGATGGGTTCAAGAGAAACTATTAAATTTCATAGAAATTAATGATTTTAGTGTATATTTTCATGAGAAAATTACTATGTCTCTTCTGTTAAGTGGCTCATAAATAATCCACGGACTTTTTGGTTTGTGTGCTTAATTTTAAACTCTTTTTTGTTGCTATTACGAATATATATAGTAAATGTTACACCTATTCAAATAAATGTTTCTACATGTGTTAGTCAGTGCTGTTGATTACATTTTTCTAGTTGAGCAAGCGTTTTCACCCTCCTTTCCCCTTAACACAAACTCACTCTCCCTAAGCTTCGTATCTAATCTTTCAGGTTGCTATTGTCCTTTTGATTCTATATAAACTTAAACCAAACTCAATGCCATGGAGTCAATTCCGAATCATAGGGACCTGTAGAGGATTTCCGAGACTGTAATTCTTTAAGGCAGTGGACAGCCTGATCTTTCTCTGGTGGTTTTAAATGCTGGCTTTTCAGCCAACAGCAGACACCACAGCTCTACCAGGCTTCCTTTTGAACCTCTAGCTCACTGCCATCAAGTCAGTTCTGACCCGTAGGGACAGAGTGGAACTGCCGCTGTGGGTTTCCAAGGCTGTCAGTCTTTTACAGAAGTAGAGAGCCTCATCTTTCTCCTGAGGAGTAGCTGGTGGTTTTGAATCGCTAACTGTGGTTAGCAGTCCAATTCAACATTACCTGTGCTGTCAGGGCTCCTTTTGTTTTCGTACAGATAGTTCTTAGAAGAGCATAATGCCCTAGGAAGACTTTTTTTTTTTTTTTTAATACTAGTTAATGTTGGTTTTACGAATACTTCAGAGGACATTTTTGGTTGAAGGGTTAAAGATGATCTCAGGGCAATGGTTTCAGGGATATATCCAACATCCTTGGCTCCAAAAAGTCCATGAGGATTTTAAATTCAGTGCTGTACTTTTCCTCTTTTAATGAGAATTCTTGTCTCGAATCTTTAATCATTAATGGTATCCAGTTCTTTTGATCTCATGGTAAAAACCAAATGAAAACCAAATTCACTGCCATTGAGTCAACTCATAGCAACACTGTAAGAAGCGGTAGAACCGCCCTGTGAGTTTCTGAGCCTAGCTTTTATGGGAATAGAAAACCCAGTCTTTCTTCCGAACTGCCGACCTTGCTGATTGCAGCCCAACTAGTAACCACTATGCCACCAGGGTTCCTCTCATGGTAAAAGAAGGTTAATTGTTCATATCCTCCTGTTCCTGCCTCCCCCTCCTCTGTGACTCTTTGTCAGCGATGAGGAAACTTTTCTCTGCGATGGGCCATTTTAATATTTATAACATTCATGGGCCCTACAAAATGTTGAACTTAAAATTAGCCAACTGTATTTGGTCAAACTTTTAATTAACTCACCCATAATGTGATGGTAGTAGCTGGCTTCTCTTTGGTGAGGTGCGTGGCGTGATATTAGCCGATATTGATGATTTCATGGGGCTTTCTCACCCTTGCTCCAGGTCCATATAGACCATTATATGCCTTGAGGTGAAAGATGGACTTTCTACTCCCATAAACAGTAACAGTCTCAGAAACTTGCAGGTGCAGTTCTGCCATGCCCTATAGGGTGGGTCTCTGTGAGTCAGCGTCAACTCAGTGGCAGTGAATTGAGTTGTTGTGCCTTGATAGCCGCTTGCAAACATTTAAGGTCATAGGTATTATGCAATAAGCTAGGAGGCAGAACAGAAGCACAATGTGTGATGAAGCCAATTAACGGGTATTCCATAAAACCATGAGGTAGTTAGTTTATTGTGCCAACCTGCCCGATAAACACATGTGGGGTTAATTGAAGGGCAGAGGGATAAATGGCTCAGTGAACCTTGCCTAGTTCTGGGGTCTCTTGCTTTGTGATGGTCGGTCCAGGGTGCAGCTGCCTTAGCCAGTTCCCTGCTTGAGCTGGCAAAGCTCACTTCTTGCAAGACATCCCTGAAGAGAAGCCACATGGACCTATCCCGATGTAGCCCTGGGTGCTGGAGCAGCCGTGTGGAGACCCCTGCCAGCGCTGAGATGCTTACACATTCACTGATTCGGCTTTCCTCCTGCAGTCGGCATCATAGTGTGTGTTTTGTGAAATGGAGGAGGACTTTGTGGATTGGTGTCGGACAAATGGGCTAATGTTGGACTTGTTTGTGTGGGCAGCACTGGGTTGGGATGTTTTCTTGAAGTGCACTTACCCTTTATATAAAACTATTTCTTATACATATGCGTTTCTGTGGATTTGTTTCTTTAATGTACCCAGACTAACACAAACCATGATCCTGAATGTCCAACCCCCAAGACCAAATACTAGGTGTTTAGTTATACATAAGCAATATCAACAGCTACTCATTGTGTGTGTGTGTGTGTAAGTAAATGTATCTGTTATACAACTTTTGCCAGTTCAACTTTCCCCCCCTTGTCCAATTTAACCACCCTTGGTGAAGTGTGTGGTCAGTGAAAACAAGGAATATTGTCAAGGAGATGGATGGACATAGTGACTACAGCCATGGGCTCCAATATAAGGGTGGTTATGAAGACGGCACAAGACTGAGCAGTGCTTTCTTCTGGTGTGCACAGGGTTCCTGTGAGTGGAACAGACTTGACCTAACACAACTTACCGTAATTACAATAATGAGCTCTGCGCCCACCCCCCCCTTTTAATCATAGTGATTTTTCCCTCATCGCTAATCCTCCCTCTCTTCCTCCCTCCCTCCTGCTCCTAGTAACCATTGATAAACTGTGATTTCCTTTCATTTATCTTCCTTGCCTTTTTATAAGTGAGGTCCTACAGTATCTATCATTTTGTGAGTGAATTATTAAGTTCAGTGTAATGACTTCAAGTTCCATCTATACTGTAGCTTATTTTAAGACTTTGTTTCTTCACTGACTGGGTAGTGTTTTATTGTGTATTTGTTCCTCATTTTATTTACCCATCTGTTGATGGACACTTGCTTTCACCTTTTGACTACTGTGAATAGTGCTCTAACCAACATTGGTATACTAGGCTCTGAATCTCTGCTTTTAAGTTGTTTTGTATATATATAAAATACACACACACATACACACACATATATATATGACTGGAATGGCTGGGTCTTATGGTGTTTAGCATCATCATCATAGGATCTAGCTATGTAAGTCCTTGGTATATAAAATAGCAGTGAGTTTGTTTGGTTTGGTATGATAATTCTCATAGTGACCCTATAGGACAGATTAGAATTGACCCCGTGAGTTTCCAAAGCAATAAGTATAGGCGCAGAAAGCCTCATCTTTCACCCATGGAGGAATGCTATGAGTTAGCATTCACTTGATGGCAGTGCATGATGACAGTCTCTTTTTATTTCTTGGGAGCATCACCACACTTTTCTGTAGTGGCTGTACCATTTCCATTTTTATCAGTAATGGATAAAGGCTCCAAATTTCCCACATTTTTGCTAACATTGTTATTATTGTTGCTAACCTTTACTATCTTTGCAGTGGTGGAGTGTTATCTCATGGTGATTTTGATTTGCATCTTTGTGATGGCTAATGACATTGAACATCTTTGCCTGTGAATGTCCTCATTGATGAAATTTCTGTTCTAGTCCTTTGTCCTTTGTATGATTGTCTTTCTGTTAAGTTCTTGAAGTTTTACATATATCTTGGTTATTAGATACTTGTATATCTACCCCATACCAATTCCATGTGACAGAATAGAATTGTCCCATAGGGTTTTCTTTATTTTTGTTTGTTTTATTTTTTTTAAATCATTTTATTGGCGGCTCATACAACTCGTATCACAGTCCATACATCCATCCATTGTGTCAAGCACATTTGTACATATGTTGCCATCATCATTCTTAAAATATTTGCTTTCTATTTGAGCCCTTGGTATCAGCTCCTCAATTGTTCCCTTCCCTCCCTGCTCCCTCCTCTCCCTTCCCCCATGAACCCTTGATAATTTATAAATTATTATTTTGTCATATCTTATGCCATCCAACGTCTCCCTTCACCCATTTCTTCGCTGTCTGTCCCCCAGGGAGGAGGTTATATGTAGATCTTTGTAATCTGTTCCCCCTTTCTCCTTTCCCTCCACCCTCCCGTATAGGGTTTTCTTGCCAGCAGTCTTTATAGAAGCAGATTGCTAAGTCTTCCTTTTCAGTAACATCTGAGTGGTTTTGAACCTCCAATCTTTTGGGTATATGTTAGTTGGGGTAGACTAGAGAAACAAATTAATAGATACTTACATGTGTATGACAAAGAACTTTATACAAAAGAGAAATTGTATATTGAGAAAACATCCCAACCCAGGTCAGATCAAATCCTTAAATCCGATATTAGCCCATATGTCTGATGCCAGTCTATAAATTCCTCTTCATTGAACCCGCCGCGCCGGCCTGTGGCGCGGGGGTTAAGCTGCAGCGCCAGAGCAAGTGCTGGCGCATAACTGGGGCCGCCAAGCCTCTGCGGGCGGCCCTTTTAACCGCGAGCGACACGGCGACCAAAAAAAAAAATTCCTCTTCAGACTCATGCAACACATGTAATGACGCTGCGTGCAGGAAGATTACAGGCCATAGGGTGGGAAGTCTGTGGATCCAGTGGCAGTGGAAGCATCTCAGCTCTGGCATGGGTCTCAACATAGCTCCTCCAGCTCCAGGGCTCAGGCTCCATCAGCATAGCTCCATGTGGCTTGTTAGCAGGAAGAGGAAGCAAAGTGTGTGTCCTGCCTCCAGGGAAGAAGACAGGAGTTCCCAGCATCCTCAGGAGAAGGCCATGCCCAGACAGAAGCCTGATTGGCTATGACTTGATTGACAGGCTAGACTCCACCCTTCGCTCAAGTTGACAGGAGATTATGTAATTGTCACAGGTAGCAGCTGAGCACTTAACCAATGTGCCTTCAGGGCTCCTATATGTACATAATACCTACCTTCCTGAAGTCTGTTCTGGCATATGTTATTGTTAAGTGACATCTAGTCAGTTCTGGCTCATAGACCTTATGTGCAATAGAATGAAATACTTCTGGTCTCTGCCAGTCTCAGAATTGGTATTATGCTTGAGACCATTGTTGCAAGCACTGTGCTAAACTAATGAAGGTCTTCCTTTTTTTTTTTTTTTTTTGGCTGACTCTCAAATATGGTATCTTTTTTCAGGGACTGATTTCTCCTGATAACATGTCCACAGTATGTGAGGCCAAGTCTGCCCTTCTCTCTTCTAAGGAACATTCTGGTTGTTCTTCTTCAAAGACACAGACTTGTTTCTTCTTCTGCTATTCTATGGTACCTTCAGAATTTTTTTGCCAGCATCATAATTCAAATGCTTAAATTCTTCTGTAGTCTTTTATTTGTTGTCCAGCTTTCCCATGCATTTGAGGTGATTGAAAATACTGGTGCTTGCTTCAGGCACAACTTCTCTAACATCATTGTTCTCAGCACTTTAAAAAGAGGTCTTGTATAGTAGGTTTGCCCAATACAATTTGTTATTTGATTTCTTACCTGCTGCTTCCATGAGCTTTGAAATCCTTGATAACCTCAGTCTGGCTCATAGCCACCCTTATATAGAATTTTTTTAAATGTACATCTTTACAGGAGACAGCCTTATCTTTTTCCAAAGCATGGGTGGAGTTTAGAATTGCCGGTCTTGCGCTTAGCAGATCAACAACAATTCCACAATACCACCAGGATTCTTTCTGTTTCCATAATTAAAACCAAACCCAACCCTTGTCATTGAAGCAGTTTTGACTCAGAATATTACATAGATTTGCTTTGAGTCCTGGCACAGGACTTTGTGAATCTTTATGGCAGCAGATAGCCTCATCTTCTCCCTTGGAGTGGCAGGTGGTTTTGAACTGCTGACCTTGTGATTTCCATCCCAACATTTAACCCACAGTGCCATCAGGGCTCTTTATGTATACAAGTGTACTTTATTTTATTATTAGTTGGGAATTAATACATATAACATATCATTACATATTTCAAGCCCATCAAGTAGAATTGTACAGTTGCTACTGCAGTCAGTTTCCAACTATTCTTATCTACATAAACTCCTTTATATCGTCTCCCCATAATGGATTTTTATAGTTAAGATTTTACTTAATAGTTTTTTATCATTTTTCAAAATCTGACATTTGTTTTACGCAGTAACCTATCATTGAGATGTGCCACCACTTGTCTGTCATTTTGTTGGACTGTGGTGTCTTGTGTGTTGTTGTGATGCTGAAAGCTGTGTTTCTGGTATTTCATGGTCACCCAAAGGAACAGGTTTCAGCAGAGCTCAGACTAAGAACAGACTACAGAGAAGGGCTAGGGTTTTACTTCATAGGAGTTAACCCCTGAAAACCTTCTGGATATCATGGAATCATCGTCAGTTACTGAAAAAACCTAATGGACAGAAGCAGAACATTGTCAGAGATAGTGCCAGAAGATGCACCCCTCAGTAGGAAGGCCCTCAAAATGTGACTGAGGAAAAGCTGCCTTCCCAAAGTAGAGTTGACCATAATGGCATGGATGGAGAAACACCTGAGAGAGTAAAGCTTTAGGGCCTTCATTTGCTGATGGAGCATCAAAATGGGAAGAAACAGCTGCAAACATCAGTTGGAACCTGAATTGTATGAAGTAAAAATTTAGGAAAATTGAAAATATTTAAAAATTGAAATCATAAAGATTGATATTCTAGGCATGATTGGTATTAGCCTGGTATTAGCCACTTTGAATCAGAAAAGCTTAGGGTTTACTAGGCTAGCAATGCCACAATGTAGAGAAATAGAGTGTATTCCTTGTCAAAAAAGGGCATTTCAAGATCTAGCTTGAAGTACAATGTTGTCTTTGATAGGATAATGTTTATCTGCCTTAAAGGAAATACAATCAGTACAACTATTATTCAGTTTATACACTAGCCACTAAAGTTAGTTCTGCAGAAATTAAGGAATTCTACCAGTCTTCAGTCTGAAATTGATCGAACATGTGATCAAAATGCGTTGATAATTACGTGTGACTGGAAACAAAGAAGAAGGAAGTAGTTGGAAAATACGGTTTTGGGAATAGAAATGAACCTAGAGATAGTGTGATAGAATTTTGCAAGATCAACAACTTGTTCATAGCAAATACCTTTTATCAACACAAAAGATGACTCTACATATGGGCTTCTGATAGAATACACAGAAATCAAATTAATTACATCTGCATGAAGAGATAAAATGGAGAAGCTCAATATCAGCAGGTAAAATCAGGGCAGGGACCAACTGTAAAACATTGCCCCCCTCCTCACGTCACCTCCCTTCCCACTGCCCCAGCAGCTGCAGGAGGAGTTAGAAATTAGTGAATGACCATCAATTGTTCATATGTAAGTTCAGGTTGAAGTTGAAGAAAAACAGGTCCAGGAGAGCCAAAATATGACTTTGAGTATATACCATGTGAATTTCTAGAACATCCCAAGAGCAGATTTGATGCATTAAACACTAATGATGTGTTGTGGGATGACATCAAGAACATCATTCATGAAGAAAGCAAAAGGTCTTAAAACGACAGGGAAGAAAGAAATGACCAAAGTAGATTTCAGAAGAGATTGTGAGACTTGCTCTTAACCATAAAAAATGTGAAAAGTAATTGTAAAAAGTGAAGTAAAAATGTTGAACAGAAAATTTTAAAATGCAGCAACAGAAAAAAAGAGTAAAATATTGTAGTGAAATGTGTAAAGTCCTGGAGCTAGAAAACTAAAAAGGAAGAGCATGCTCACTATACCTTAAACTAAAAGAAGTAAGAAAAGAATTCAAGCCTTTAAAGGCAATAAAGAAAGATTCTATGGGGAAAATATTGAATGATCCACCAGGTATCCAAATAATCTAGGAAGAATACACAGAGTCACTGTACCAAAATGAACTAGTTCACATTCCACAGTTACAGGAGGTAGCATATGAACAAGAACCCATGGAACTACAGGAAGAAGTTCAGGCTGCACTGAAATCATTAGACTCCAGGGATTGATGGAATACCTATTGAAATGTTTCAACAAGCTAATGAAGCACTGAACACTCATTCATATGTGCCAAGAAATTGGGAAGACAACTACTTGGTCAACTGGCTAGCTGAGATTAATATTTGCACCTATTCCCAAAGGAAGGTAACCCAACAGAATGTACAAATTATATAACATTATCATTGATATCTCAAGCAAGTAAAATTTTGCTGGATTATCCAACAACGATTGTAGCAGTATATTGACAAGGAGCTGCCAGAGGTTCAGGCTGCATTGAGAAGAGGATGTGGAACAAAGGATACCATTGCTGATGTCAGATGGATCTTGGCTGACAAACAGCAAGAATTCTAAAAAGATGTTTACTTGTGTTTTATTGACTATACCCAGGCACTGGACTGCATAGACCATAACAAACTATGGACAGCCTTGAGAAGAACGGGAATGCCAGAACATTACATTGTGGCCAGATAAACCTTTACGTGGATCAAGAGTCAGTTGTGTGAAAAGAACAAGGGAATACTTTATGGTTTAAAATCAGGAAAGGTGTGTGTCAAGATTGTATCCTCTCATCATACTTGTTCAGTCCACAAGCCAAGCAAATTATTCGAAAAGTTGAACTACATGGAGAAGTCTGCATCAGGATTAGAGGAAGGCTTATTAACAGTCTCTTATATGCAGATAACACGTCCTGGTTTGCTGAAAGTGAAGAGGGCTTGAAGTACTTGCTGATGAAGATCAAAGATTGCAGCCTTCCATAGGATTATAACTCAATGTAAAGAAGACCAAAACCCTCACAACTGGAGCAGTGGGCAATATGATAAATGGAGAAAAGATTGAAGTTGTCAAGGATTTCATCTTGTTTGGCTCTGCAATCAGTGTTCATGGAAGAAGCAGTCAAGAGGTCAAACAATGCATTGCAGTAGATAAAGCTGCTTCACAGACTTCTTTTGATCGTTGGAAAACAAGGATGCTACTTTGAGAATTAAAGTGAGCCTGACCCAAACCATGGTATTTTCAGTTGCCTCATATGCATGTGAAAGTTGGACATTGAATAAGGAAGACTGAAGAAAAATCGATGCATTTTAACTATGGCATTGGTAAAGAATATTGAAAGTACTGTGGACTGCCAAAAGAACAAACAGATCTATGTTGGTAGAATTTCAGCCAGTGTTCTTAGAGGCAAGGACTTAGTTAGTCTCACATTCATTGGACATGTTTATCAGAAGAGAACAGTCCTTAAAGGACATTAGGCTTGGTAAAGTAGAGGGACAGCAAAAAAGTTCGTTGAGTTTGATAACAGTAGCTGCAATAGTGGGTTGAAACAATGTGAGGATGGGACCAGACTGGATGGTGTTTCTGTGTGTTGGAACCAACTTGAAGGCACCTAGTTAGCAACAACAACAATTGAGATGTGTCTGTTTAATGCTTTTTTTGAACTACCAAAAGATTTCATCCTCCAGGTAAGATTTTGTTAGGCTTATTGAAAATTTGAGGAGATGGCATATGTTTATTTCTGATAGTTTCATA